TCTCTCTCTCTCTCTCTCTCTCTCTCTCTCTTGAGTCAGGGTAAGGGTTATCTGTTCGACCTCATTAGGCAGTCTTGGGATAACTATGAGAATTACAAGTAGTTTTCTAGAAATTCTCTATAATAAATACCGATATTAGGATTATTCGTAGGTTGGGTTAGTTGATTATCAGCCGTCATAACCAACTCGACTTACAAACAAACTTTTATAAATAATGAAAGAACCATTATCGACTCACCATAGATGGATTGTGTAGTGGTTGACAAACCAATTTCGTAGATCAATTATGAGTTGGCTGATGGGTTAAAAAATCAAATTTTCTTCTTTAAACATTCATTACAACACTATTATTTAAACATAACGAATTCAGAAATATTGGACCAAACAATTCAATATCTCAACTAAACATAATTGTTCAACAATATTATAACAAAACTCTGGTGATCATGTTGAGAGAAGAATTGTTGGTGAAGGGTTGAGGAAGAGGTCAAAAACGAATACGTAATGATATTGATAATTAGGTAATCTACATAATTAATCATTAGATTTAGGTGAAAGATTTTTTAAAAGAAAGATCATAAATTACAAAAGAAATAATGCATAAAACTTGAAGTAGATAGTTAATCACCCGCCAAAAAATATATATAAAAAATGAGTCGGTTGATGCGTTATAAATAGCTCTAACCTATATTATGGAACTTTGCGTAAGTATCTTATTTAGCGTCGATTCTATGAATTCGATTAGCAAAAACTTTCTATGTATTCATTGGCTTTCTGGTCATTGGAAATGGAAAAAATATAATTGTTTGGTTTAATACATGGGGTGTATAGTTTTTCTCTTTCTGAATATAAGTTAATGTACTCCTGACTATAGAAGGAAGTGATGTAGATGATTTGTAAGCAATACAAGAAAAGGAAAAATCAAAGTTTTTAAACAAAATAGAATTATTTCTAAGTCAATAAAATATCATTACTTTTTTATTCCAAAAATATTATTTTTTAAGTCTTCACAAACCCATCAAAATCCAACGGAATTTATCATTTTATCCTAAAAATTGGCATCAAATGCCATCTTTTATAAACGTCCACAAATCTTACTTCTTTTGTACCTCATTTCAATCGAGGAAAAAATGATTACTAGAAGCTTTGTCTTGAATAGTAAGATCTTTGGAGCATTGTCGAAGACGACACCAAAAATTGAGGCTCAATTGATCGATTCACAAATGCAAAATTTAATAAGCGAGAAGCAAAGAGATTCAAATGTTTTTTTCCAAATATATCAAGTGATTGAAGTTCAAGTCTATGATAGACTAACCAAAACAAGCAGTTCCAAGGAGGCATGGAAAATTCTACAAACAACTTATGCCGGAAAATTCAATGGTTCTTGGATTATTGGTGTCAAAAGCACAAACAATGCCCGTCAAGCGAGAAACCCATAAGAGACTAGTATAAATATTAGAGTTTGATATTCAATTGAGGTAGATTCTATTTACTTGTCAATTTTGAGAGCTTTCCACTCTATAAAGAATATCCGCATTGACTTGATTGTCGAGAGTCACCTAGTGTTTGCCTCTGTTTTGTAGGTTGGTGCGAAGAAGTATACTCTGCACGAGGTCTACCGCTCAACGTTCGGATTGTAACCCCACGTTCACCTTGGACACGTGGTAGGGGACCCTACTTTCCAAATTGTAGAGCTTGAAGATTCGTGAGTATACATGCAACATCAAATATCAATGTAATTAATGTATTTCATATCATCGGTGAATAAAAAATAGAATTTTCGATTTCTGACAACTCTGATTAAAAGAAAAACCGATTTTGTAGTGATATTTTCATTTTGAATTCCAACAAAAATTGATTTCCATTTTTTTTTTATCAAAATTGGATATAGTATATATATATATATATATATATATATATATATATATATATATATATATATATATATATATATATATATATATATATATATATATATATATATATACATATATATATATATATATGAATATATAGATATCTATGTATAAAAATTACTGAATATGCATGATTGGATAGAAACATCTGAAATACAGGTCTCGTCTCCCAAACATACAGATGACTCTCCTGAGTCCAAGCCTATCAAAGTCTCTCTTTCTATATATATATATAACTGTCTATATCTCTCTCTCTCTGTGTCTCTCTCTATCTATTCATATCTATCTGTATACAGAACACTACATGTATAGCTCTTTATCTCAGACTCACTCAGCGCG